TCAGATTAGGCTTTTAAGGCACCCTCTATCTAACTTAAACATTTTGTTTTTCCCCTAGTGATTTTTTTTATCATACTTTTTTAGACATCTGTTTGATGAGGGAGCTGCTCACACTATAATACTCTAGGGACAAACCAGTTTTCAAGTATGATTTTATTTGAGTTGCAGAATTAAATGACTTCTTAAAAATTTATAACATTCAGTGAAGATTAATTTCTTAAAAAAAAAAAAAAAAGATGACTTTCTCCCATCAGATCATGGACTGGCTTAATTACACAGGAAGAATTTCTCATTCAAGCGATAAACTGATGAAATTGCTTTCTAGAGCTTCGGTTTCTGGTTCTAATAACCTATGGAATGGATCTTTGCTATCATTAAGTCAGTCAAGATGGAGATCCGATTCTTTTTTTTCTTTCTTATATCTAAAAAAATAAGAAGAAAACTCTAACTTACTATTTTATTAATTGAGCGCTGAACTAGACACTCAGGGAGTCTCTAGGAATATGGAAGTCCCAGCCATCAGATATTGTGGTATAGTAGAGTAGGCAGAATAAATCATATGGTAGGTACCCTAAGTGTAGTATAGGCAAATGTTAAAAGAATTTGGAATGGGATGGAAAGAAGAGATATGGGGATATTTCCTGACGGGTGGTTAAAGGAAAGACTTCAAGAAGAAAGTGGCATTTAAGATGAATTTGAATGAAGGGTAGTTCATTAGGTAGAGGAACAGTAGAAACCAGCATTTTCATTTGGTGGAATATAGTGAGCAGGGGCAGAAAATTACAAGTTGTGATTAGACAATGCTTGAGCGAACCTCATAGGCTAGACTAGAGCACAAGGTAGATAAGACAAAAAATTACAGAACAGGTTATAGAGGTCCTGGAGTAATACCAGACTATTTTAGTCTAAATTAGGGGTCAGCCCATTTTCTCTTCATTTCCAGTTTTAATCTGTTCATATAATTTTTTTTATACATACATATATGCATACAGTGATTGTTTTGGCAACAATCACTGTATGCATATAGAAGATAATAATCATAATTCCTTAAACTGCATTTTGGTTTTTGAAGGTCTCAAAGAGTCTCTCACCCTGATGGCACTCTGGGGTATTCACATTCATGTATCTGTGGATTCAAGGTGTAACAGCCCCCACTGTTTTCTCCTCTCTGCTCTTCTGTATCTGAGACGGAAAAGCCACAGTCTGTGCTGTGGTTTTGTGTATGTGTTGTTTGATCTTTTACCCTGACTTCAGAAGCCCAGCATGCAACCTTGCTGCCCTGCTCTAAGTTAGTTTCTCATTCTGCTTTCATGGGAGAATCCTAGTTGAAGAGGGCAAGTACTCCAGGGTCATCATCATCTGCTGCCATGTAGTTTTTTGCTCTGTCATTTCAACCTAATGTTCTAATCTAGCCTAAGTAAACCACTCAGTATTTCTGATCATAACATACCTGATGCCTTATGAGTTGTTTTTGGTTTCAGTGATACAACCAATCTCTGATAAAATTAGGAAAAAATCATGTGCTGCCCAACTAGAGTCCAGATTGGAATCTTTGTTTCATTATGTACTAGCTGTGCGACCTTGAGCAAAATCATTGTCTGTCTCAGGACTTTGTTGTGAGATTCAAATGAATCACTATAAAGGATTATTTTGTTAACATTGGATTTTAGTAGGAATATGATTAATTATCCATCATAAAGATAAGTAAAATTTTTATTTTTTAATGTTTTAATGAAAGTTTAATAATTTTATTGATAAGTTTTGAAAAACAGCTGAAACAGTTTTATATCATTAGTAATTTTTACACTAACTTTTTTGACTTAGATAATTATCTGAATAATATTTCAAAAATATCTGAAACATTTAAACTGAATTATGAACGTTATGACGAAATATTAAATTGTTTGGAATAGAAGAATTCTTCTCTGTCAAAGCATTGTCAACTATGTAAAAAGGCTGAGGAAATTTTATTTACTTGGAAATTTTCCTTTTCTTAAGCTTTATAGAAGCTATTCACTAGCCTTAAAGAGGAGATCATATTTTTCTCTTAATTGATTACAGAAGGGCTTATCCATTCCCCTGTATGACACCATGGATCATAAAGCTATAGGATGGTGCTCACTATACTGTGCGATATATAGTAGTGAAAAAAGCATTTTCACTTATGAGAAATCCATTTGACCTGAGTCGTTCCTCTGGCACTTGACAGCTGTGTGACCTTGGACAAATTTTTCAACCTTTCTTATTTAGCTTTCTCATCTGACCCAGCAGAAATTTCTCATCAGTTTCACAAATAGTTGTGATTCTCTTGAGCAACTGGTTAATTTTAACTTTAAAGCCATTGTAAATCACACGGAGCAGATTGTCTTGATTCATGTTGACTGCTAGAGAGTTTAGATAAAATTTGACTCATCTCTAGCTCATGCATACAATTTTATAGCATGCGCTTTGTAGCTTAACCTCATTCCTGGCTCTGTTTCGCCTCCTTATACTTATTTCTCATTAGCTTGACTTTTCTAACATACATTTAATTTATTTTTGTATCACTTTCATCTATGGAATCTGCCTTCTGTTCTTCCTGGAACAACATTCAATAAAATAAATAATGCCTATTTCTCAGAGCTATTGTAATGTGCATAGTGAGTGATATAGTAGGTATCCTTAATTTTTTTTTTCTTACTGAATCAAAGAACATTGGTTATAGCTGCTTTGAACAGAGAAAAGTTTAAATAGAATTTGGTTTTAAGGAGAAGATAAAGTTTCAGAAGAACAGATTGGCCTATTGCCAGGTGTCCAGAGTTTTCTGTGGTTTATATAAAGATAAATGAGTATATCTAGAAGATTCTTTTCAGCCTTAAACATGGTAAAATACTCATGTTACTCATCTGTATGAAGACATCCATCTTATATATAGCTCACAACTGCTTTGTGTTCATAAGGTCATAGAAATGTTTTAGTGGAGTTTTCCGATAAATGTAATGTGTTTTTGTGGAAGAGATTTTATAGGACAGTTTCTTTGGTTTAAATTATGTATTTAAATGAACTATATACAGACAATGGAATTAGATGTTTAGAATTTTTATAATTGTGTTAATGATTTTCATCTGACAAGCCCTGAATTTGTAAAGAAAAACCATATTTAACTGGTGTACACTGCTTCATGAAGTCAGAATTCAAATATGGCCACAGCTAGTATTTTTTAGATTAATCACTCAAGCATCCACCTGCCGTATTAGTGGAAACTACAGCATCTTCCTCTTGGAATTTCTATTTTCCCCTAAATTGTCCCAAGAACTTCAGTGGCTTACATAGTCCAAAAGGGTTCATCGGTGGCCTCCATATCCAAGATGTGGCATGCACATCTGTCTGCAACTGCGAGTCACACTAGAATCTGTTGAGTCCACCGCTGCCGCTACCCCTCCCTGCCACGTGGTGGTGGTGTTGAAAACTAGCCTCACCCGTCCAACAGAAGATGCAGGTTCACTGTTGACCCAGATGCCTGTGCAGGCCACCATGGTGCATCAGGGAAGGATGACCTCCCTGTCCCTCTGCTGTACTAAGCTCAGTTAGGGTGTTCCAGGATGCCCATGATTGTGTTCCCAAGATTACAGCTATTAGCACACTCTCTTTCAGTTGATGTCACAGATGCCTCTCAGCTGTTCAAAAATCAACACAAGCATTGCTTCAGGACTGGCCCTAATTTCTACCACCTCATAGCCTCAGAACATTTTCCCTTCCCACTACGGGCTCTTATGCCGTTATTTAAAGGAAGGGAGGGAGGGAGGAAAGTCATTCTTTCTGAAAACTTCTAAGCTATTAGGCCATACTCTAAGCAAGGCTACATCTAAGTAGGGACTCCAAAGGATCTGATTCCCAGCTCAATGAGGAAAGCTACTATCATTGACTCAGAGGAGATTGACCCTTCTAAGGAATATTTCCCCAGTGATCTCCAGGGTCTTCATATCTACCCCTCTCAGAAGTAGTGATTCCGAAGCAATTGTCTGCTTCTCCCTCTTAGGTGAATTGTGGAGGGGGAGGGAGCGGGGAAGGGGCAGGGATTGAATTCAGTTTCTGGCAGGGCATTCTGCTACACATGTAACCAATCTCAAATGGAAGAGCATGGTTTAGATGATTTATATTGCAAGAGCCTTCATGTTTAAAATGAATGAAAGTAGACATGAGCAAGAGAACAAATGATAAATTTAATAAAATAAGTGGTTTTGGGGTTGTGATAGAAATAACGAAACCAGCCATTTTGACTAATTGAAAGATTGGGAGAAGTTTCAAATGATCAGTCATATTAGCAACTCGAGGGTTACTAGAATAGAGGTTTGCTCTTAATGTTCAGGATTTTTATTTATAAAAATCTGCCACAGACACCTCTCCCTGTAACCCGCCCCCCCACAAAAAAAAAAGGAAAGAAAAGATACAGCAGAATCCAGAACAGAACATCCAGTACCCAAAGTTGGGGGGAAAATTATTTCTTTACCAGTGTTACGGAAGGGGAGTAATCAGCTCTCAACTCTTATCAGTTTGCTTTCAGAGTTCATGGCTTAGTGTGACAGCGACTTAGCAAAGACTTGCTATGTGAGACCTCTGTAGTCAAGAGTCGTGCCCCATTCAAATAGCGATTCTATTCTACCCTGGATAATGAGGCTGCTGGCAAGGAACCCGTCTCTTAGTTATCAGTCCATACTTGGAGCTCTCGTTGCAAGTTATTAACAGAGTTCCTTTTACTATACCTATACTTGTCTATTGTAGATGTTATAGTAGCTAATTTTCTTTGAGGTTAAGAATGCCTAATGACTTTTTTCCCCCTGAAAGCAAGCTTCTTGCTTCTTCCATACTTATTTTGTATTTTATATTTGTTATAAAAGAGTGTAGATGAAGCCCATTCAAAAGAGGGGAGAAAAGGTTGATTATATCACAGCAAGTTATGTTTGGGTTGTTCTGCTCCAAGAGAGATGTGTGTGCTCAGTGGTTATTTTTGTGTGTTACAGGCCTTTCGGGAAGACCTGGAATGCCTTATTCAAGAACAGATGAAGAAAGGCCACAACCCAACTGGATTACTAGCATTACAGCAGATTGCAGATTACATCATGGCCAGTTCTTTTTCCGGCTTTACTTCACCTCCCCTCAGTATGTCAGTTTTGGAAAGTTTAAAAAAACGATAATTTTATCTCTACTTTGAACACTGTGCATCTCTAGCAGCATATTCTGCTCTGGTTCAGTCCTTAAGCTTAAACACCTAATACTTAGAGTAACATAGTGTTAGAATCTCTCACTTTTTCATATCAACCAGGCATTCACTAGACTTTATGAGGCTTACAAAATAGTTACAAGATGTGGTCTCTGCCCTAGATAAATATATGTTTTAATTGAGGACACATACTGTGAATGCACAGACGATTAAAACGGCAAGATAACTATAGAGGAAAAGTTACAAAGCAGTTCATAAGCAGTTGTCCAGTGACCCTTAACAAACCATCATGCTATGAACTCAGAGCTGAAATTGATTATTGGCTGAAGTGGACTGAGAAAACTTTAGGGAAGAAGAGAGGCCCAAACTACTCCGGTGGAATGGTTAGAACTTGGTGTCAGAGGGGTTAGGACACTGTGTTATTAACAGCTCTCAGTGAGAGCACCACGTTGATGAGCTGAACACTGTTCAGGATATCAAGAATCATAAGGCATTAAGTTCGAGCACTTTACATCTCAGGGAGATGTGTGTGGAACTCACTGCACCAAGGCAGCTGCACAGAGTGCCAGAGGGACTGTCAGGGACGGCTTCACATCAGTGTCAGTGGGTGAGCCGAGCCTTCATTTCAGAGCCCAGGGATTTTCTTTTCCTCTTTTTCTTTCCTTTTTTTAAAAAATTCTTTCTTTGTTTTTCCTTCCTTTTTTTCTTTTTCATTAAAGATTTATAAGTAGGAGTTCAGTGATTTGGGGTACTTTCCACATAGAGGAGTGGCATAAAGGGAGCCATGAGGGCGGAAACATGCAAGGTGTGGGTATGCTTGTGGAACTCCAGTGGACAAGTATGTTGGCACAAGCCTACTGGTTAAAGACTTTATAAAGAGTCCCAGTGTGAGGTGTAAGTGCTTGAACTAAAGTAGTGATTGTGGTACAAAAAGGAAGGGATCAGTGAGAAAGGCATCACCAGGGGCGAGTAGAAGACTCAGCAGCAGGTTTGACGTGGTGGGACAGGGGTCCTGGGAAAAATAATGACTTCCAAATTCACCTGCTCTTCTAGCTCAGGGAGACATTCTGCCAGAAGAAACTGAAAAATCCTACGGTTGGGCTGGTTTGGTTTGTTCTTTCTGTAATATTGAGTATCTGTTCTATGTCAAGCACCCTCTTAGGGATAGAGGATACAGTGAGAAACAAGACAAACAAGATTCTTGTGCTTGTGGAGACAGGAAAGTGCCTAAGTAAATAAAGAAAAGGGTCAGATAATGGGAAGTGCTATGCAGAGAATTAACATATGGTGATTTGTACGAGTAACTAGGTGACTTCTTTAGATTGGGTGATCAGAGAGAACCTCCCTGAGGTGACGTTTAAACAAATCTGAAGTGCAAGAAGGAGTAGCCCATACCAAGATGGAGACAAACCCTTCCAGGTAGAAGGAACAAAGTACAAGTGTCAGATGAGAATGTGAGAATGAGTTTGGCCACCTTTTGAGGGAACAAAAATAAAAATTATGGTCTAGAGCTTATCTTTGAGGGGACAAGTAGATCAAAATGAGGTCAGAAACACAGGGAGAGGCTAAATTTTACAGGGCTTCACAGCCAGGGTTGGAAGTTTGGATTTTATTCCAACTTTGGAAAGCCATCTTGAGCAGGAGGGTAATGTAGAAGGACCACTAGATTCTGTATAAAGAATTAACTGGGAGGTTCCACAGTGTTATTAGACAAAAATGGGAATGTCCAAAGTTGGGGATCTAGTTTGGCTTGGGGGAAAGGAGGAAGTTCAACTTTAGGCATGTCAGGTTGCCTCGAGAGTTGCCAAGACTGCAGCGGCTGGAAATGCAGTCCTGTGAGTGTCCTAGATACGACAGGAAAGGGTGCTGGCCGGCAGGAAAGCTGTGTCCCAGTGTGCATAGGTCATGGAGTAGACGTCAACCACTTTGGCTGGGATATGTATGTTGTGCTGTGAAAAGTGGACGTTAAAGTTGGAAAGACAGGGTGAGTAGTAAATAGGTTAATGGCTGACTTTGAAATTTTGTGAGAAATTATACTGTTTAGTGTGGCTTACACTTTCTTTGAATTAGTTCATAACATTTCAGAATAAGAATATCTCACATTAGAGTGTTGACTTGGAGCTTCCCTTTAAACGTTCTGATAGCCCTGGACTCAGATTCTCCCAGGGTAGCACCTGCCTGGTGAGTTGTAGCTGCCCCTTCAAGCAGGCATGTGTTCTCGTAGCCTACAGGCTGCACCAGGCCCAGTTTATGCACTTACGCGGATTTCCTGGCCCCTGTAGGCCTTCAAGTTTGGGGGTCCTGCAGGACTTTGAACAGGAGAATAGTGAGGTTAAAGGCTGTGCTTTGGGAAATTCAGTCTGGTGGCTTGATGCAGATGGGTTTGCAAAGAGAGGGGTCATGGCGAGGACAAGGAGAAGAGAGCCACGTCGAGGGTTCCGTGCGCGCCAGGCCTGAGCTCCAGTCTGGAGGTGAGGGGCCGTGCGAATGAGAGGGACGGGACGCGGTGGGAAGTGGCCTGTGGTGCTTGGAGGGTAAGAGGTACGGGTTCCTCAGTGTTTGAGCCTGCAGGAATTGTAATACCATCATATCAAAAGAGAAGGGAAGAGAGGAGAGAAGATACAAACCAGAGGAAATAAAATCACTCTAATCCCTTTTAAGTTCTGTGCTGTTCTGTTGCAGGCAGTTGGAAGCGGGAGGCTGAAGGAAGGGGCGGGAGGGCCTGGGCAGAGGTGAAAATCAGTGTCACCCACACAGAAGCTTAAAAGTAGGTAACGTTTTCATGGGGAGAAGGGAAACAGGAAAGGAACACGATGGAGGACAGAGCTTTGGGAGACAAGCCATAGTTGGGGCGGGTTGGGGAAGGGAAGAGAACTTGCTGACAGAACGAAGAAGCAGGCGAAGGCGCGAGAACGGAACGGACTCCAGACGGGAGCGTGCAGGCGTGGCGAAGATCCGGAAGGGAGTGGGGCCTGGGCAGAAGCTGAGCCTAGCAACCAAGTCATTAGAGACCAAAACTAGTTTTTGTTTGGTGAGGACAGGAGCCAGACAACTGTTTAAATGTATTCTTTTCCATCTTACATATTTTTTGGTTGAATAAAAGTGAAAGGAGATATTTTAAAAGTAGCTTTCCGTTTTGATCTTCTCATCATAAAATTAGCAATAACCTCAGTACTAACAACACTTTCACCAATGGGGTCATGAGACCATTTTTCCCTGGTAGTGTGAGCCTAACTCCCCAACCAGTCACTCCCCAACATGTGCTTGATGAAACAGCAAAGATAGCTAGTGCATGTGTTTACTCTCAGTGAATTTCTCTGAAGGAAGATAAGCTAATGAAACATTGTGTGGGCTGAGAAGTTTCAGATCATTATGCACAAGGCCGGACACTCTGAGACTCAGGCTGCTTCCTGGCAACTGACTCCCAGGTAAGGGATTACTTGACCTGAATCTCTCTCCACAACCTTTCCTCTCCTAGGTCTCGGCATGGTCACACCTATCAATGACCTTCCTGGGGCAGATACATCCTCCTACGTGAAGGGAGAGAAACTTACTCGTTGTAAACTTGCCAGCCTGTACAGACTTGCCGACTTGTTTGGATGGGCACACCTGGCAAACACATACATCTCAGTGAGTTCCTGGGCTTTCGATTCCTTTTTTTTTTTTTTAATCCTAACTTGAAGGCAACTATACTTTTCTCACCTGTACTCAGAAGTCCAGTTTTCAGACCTTATTCTCTAAACCCAGCATGCTGGATCACAGCCTGACCGCGATTTAAACCTCACCTCTGAGAGGCTGCAGTAACCCCAGCCTCTCCATTTACTGTCTGGGGAGATCTTTTAATTCCGAGCAGTTGTAGAGTCTATACAGGAAGAAATCCTTCTGGCCAAATTTTCTCTCTCCATGTTAATTATATCCGAGCATCAGTTACATTAAAGTATTTGGGGCAGGGAAAATAGAGGTGATCAGGGAAGTGTCCTCCCTGGTCTTTATTTTTTAAATATATTTTTCCCATTCATGATTATCTTGTTTTCATGTTGTCACAGTTGGTAGCAAGACAATATTTGGAAGCAAAAAAATGTGAAAATATTGCATGATGGAAATAGCACAGATGCGACGTGCAGTCTTCCTACAACTCCCTTTCTCCCAGCCATTTCTGTTGCCCTTTCCATCTCCACCTTAATTCCTTCCTAGGAAGAGACTCTATTCTCTTTCCTTTGCCCATTTTACTTTAATTCCATGTTGTAAATTGAGAGTTTAGTCATTACCACCTTCAGTGAATAATATTGGTACTTGTTTTGCATGAATGTAGCTGACCCTAAGCAACCTTAGAACCCCCAAAATAACACTTCAGGTGAATTCAGTAGATGAGAAACTAATGCCAGACTTTTTTAGCAAGTACTTGAGGTTTGAGGAAAGAAAACCTTTCAGAGAAAGTTTCATGTTGCACATCTTTAATCTCTGCTTTATTTTTTTTCTCCCCCAGACCGCTTACACTTACTGCTAGTCATGTTTATACTGCAAATGTGAACACCTCACAGTAACCCCCCTTCTGCTTCCTCCCAGGTACGAGTAAGTAAGGAGCGGGACCACGTCATACTAATCCCCAGAGGCCTGTCTTTTTCTGAAGCCACAGCCTCCAATTTGGTATAAGTTTCATTCTTCTGTTATTCTTTCTCTACTGCCTTGTTCTTTTCTGACAGTTTTTTAGCTTTTAATACAGGATGGAACAATAGAAGGTATGGGTGGAAAAAACATTTGCTAGGGAACAGAGAAAAGTCTGGGAAGTTACATTGACTTGAGAAAAGCATTAGGGTTCAAAAAGCAACAGCAGGGTAGTGGAGGGGTCTAAGAATGAATTGGTCCCATCCGCCAATCTGTCCACGTTTTGAAGGGAATCTTTTCAGTTTTTGTCCACTCTATGCACAATGTGTATTTTGTTTTAAAAAATACACATACACCCAGTCAATTTGTATTTCATAGATAGATTTAAACAAAGTTCAGTTGGTGTGAGAACAGGGTCTGACCTCGCGTCTCCGAGTTTTCCATGATTGTTCTAGCTGCTGCCTTCAGCCTCTAGAGCAACAGGAACCACATTGGTTGTAGATGCTGCAGTGCTAACAGATGGAAATTTTCCAGCCAGTTCAGTGAATGCCAGACTTGTGCAGACCTTTGGTGAAGAGCTTAAGTTATTCAGTTTCTTAGGAATTCTGCCTCTTGCTAAATACTAAGTTTTGATGCACACTACCTGTTCTGTAAAGTTTCATGGGAAGAAAGCCACACCCATCCTTTTATCGCTATTCATGGCTGCTTTTGTACTATCGAGGCAGAGTCGTAACATAGGCTCACAAAGTCTAAAATATTTACTATCTGACCTTTGACAAAATAGTTTGCCGCCTCCCTGGTTTAACTTGTGGAGCACAGGCAAACTTTGATACATGTGTACCAATTCAGCTACTTTCTGATTTTTCCAGGTGAAAGTCAATATAATAGGAGAAGTGGTTGATCAGGGAAGTACTAATTTGAAAATTGACCACGCAGGATTCAGTCCCCATGCTGCAATCTATTCAACACGTCCTGACGTTAAGTGTGTGATTCACATCCATACCCTTGCAACAGCCGCTGTAAGTCACTGAAGGGCCAAAACCAACAAGGGCTCTGGGAAGTGTATTATTTTCATGGCTTTCCTTGCATGGTACTCTATTATCTGCATTCTTTCAGACTCCACCATTTAAAATTATATTTGAAATATTGACCCTCTGCATACCCAGAAAGCAAAAGGCCCCTTTGGTCTAAATGCTACCATTCTAGGAAACAACTAGAGAGAGACCATTTACATTTTTGAACTATTAAGCTTAATAATTGGGTCATTGAGTTCTTTGCAGCAAAGCTTCTTGCATAGTATTTGGCAGAGCATTTAAATTGTGTTGTATCCCCTAAGTCCATTTTTTTTCTGGGAGAAACGAAAAACTGAAGTGGGAGGTAGGGTAGAACGGTGAACACACTGAATCAGGTTCCTATGAAAGTGTGTTCGTGACTGAATGTGTTATCTGGCCTTGGACCCAATCTTCTAGGTATCCTCCATGAAGTGCGGAATCCTTCCCATTTCCCAGGAGTCCCTGATCCTGGGAGATGTTGCCTATTATGACTACCAAGGGTCACTTGATGAACAGGAGGAGAGAATTCAACTGCAGAAAGTTCTGGGGCCAAGTTGTAAGGTGTGTAGTAGAGTTTCTATCTAAGGAGCTATTTTTGTTGCTGTTGCTGTTGAAAGCAGTGTGCACTATGCCAGTTATTTGAAGTGATTGCTCTGGAATTCTATTTTAGGTGCTGGTGCTCAGAAATCATGGTGTGGTGGTACTTGGAGAAACAGTTGAGGAGGCCTTTCATTATATTTTTAGTCTCCAGATAGCCTGTGAGATTCAGGTAGGAATAATTATTCAACCCCCTCCCCTTTTTTTGCTTTGTTGATTTGCTTGCTGAGTTGGGTTTCATGTTTACTTATTTCCGAAGTCTTATTGGTTGGTGACTTTTGTTTTGTTTTTTAAGAGAAATTCTGTTTTACTTGAGTAAAAAGGGTCGACTCAGTTACCTCTTGAGTCAAAAATAGGAGAAAAGAAAATTAAAATTCACATATACGCATACACACAAATCTAAGTGCCACATAAAGATTATTTTCCTTATAATTCCACTTTTTAAGATAGTATAATTGCACATTTCTCTGTTTTCACCCTCTAGTGGTATGGTGCTAATTGAGACACAAAGGCAGCCACCAGTCATCAAATTTCAGATGTGTTGTGGCCACTTCTGTAAAGAGTGTAAGAGCAGAGGCAGAAGTTTTAAGAACTCAAGCAATTTCCAACTGTTCCACAGCCTCAGCCTCAGCCTCATTATTGTAATAATAGGTTGAATATTTGTTAACCACTTTTTTCCTCAGAGAATGTATTTAATGGCTCTAATTTCTCTCTTCAAGAAAGTCAAGCAGGTTCTCTTGAAGCAAGTGGTAATAATCTTAATTTATTGAACGGACCATAAAAAATGGGGGAAACACTTTTTCTACCAAGTCTAACTTGTCTTTACCAATTCTTTTTTTTTCTTTTTTTTTTTTTTTTTGCTTTAATGGTCCCTCTTCCTCTTCTCAAATGACGCTATGAAGTACTTAAATAAATTAAGATAATAAGCTGACTTCAGCTGCCTAAATATCCTTAAATTCAAAATACAGTGTCTGTATTCCTTTAAAATTAGAACTTTCAGCAAAAGTATTAACTGGGTAGCCATGGGAAAACTGCAAGAAAAGAACTTTAAAATTTGTCAAGAGAATTCAGTTTCTTGAAATGTGTTAAGAGGTATGTATTTATCAGGGAGAGTCAGAGTTCTGTCAGGGATCTTTTTGAGATAGATGGAAAAAGATACTTCAGCTGCCTAGTTTCATAAGTGTATTGCCTTTTTTTTATGTTAATAGCCTGAACAAGAATTAGATATTTGCTGGATCCAAAGTGTGCCTTTTTAAAAGTGAAATATTCCTTGTAGTCTTCACAGTCTGTGCATGTGTGTGTTTTGCATTGGTTATAGGTGCGGGCATTAGCAGGGGCAGGCGGAGTAGACAATCTGCTTGTACTGGATCTTCAGAAGTTTAAGCCTGTCACTCACGCCATCGCAGCGTCTGGAGGAGGAGGCGTGAATATGGGTTCCCATCAAAAATGGAAGGTTGGCGAACTTGAGTTTGAAGGGCTGATGAGGACTCTGGACAATTTGGTAGGTGAAAAAGTGAACATAAACTTGGATTTCATACCTTCAGATTCAGGAGCAGATGCTTCCATTTCGCTTTGGTTTTGGAATGTGCTCCTTACTCCTCCGGGAGCTGAGTTTGACCCTGGGATGGCATTTAAATGTAATATTACCACATTTTTAAAGTCAAACAGTGAAACCTGCTAATGTCATCTTAGATTTTTCCCTCTTCTACTAAGGATCAGAGGCAGATTGCCTTCAGACCCTGGAACATAGACTTAAATGAGCACTGTGATTTGGCCTCCAGAAAACCAGTTTATAGCTAGAAAAATGTTCTGGTCAGCAGTTTTGAAATTACCTTTGTCAGGAACAGTTGTGTGAGTGGAAATTGCATTGTCAGCTGGAATCTGTTTTGACCAGATCTTGAAATTTGCTTAATTTCAACTCTGGTGTGCTGTGGGGTTTAGAAGGATGTTTTCCCCTTTATTTGTTTTTCAACAAAGGAGTCTTTTTAAATCATTTGTTTAAAGAATTAGAATTCAGATGCTGTGTCTTGTACAGGTTTGGTTGCTTCAAATGTGTTTTTTCCCTCCTCAGGGGTATAGAACAGGCTATGCATATAGGCATCCTCTCATTCGGGAGAAGCCTAGGCACAAGAGTGATGTGGAAATCCCAGCAACTGTGACTGCTTTTTCCTTTGAAGACGATACAGTGCCACTCTCTCCTCTCAAATACATGGCACAGAAACAGCAGCGTGAGAAAACCAGATGGCTGAACTCACCAAATACTTACATGAAAGTGAATGTGCCTGAGGAGTCTCGGAATGGGGAAACCAGTCCCAGGACCAAAATCACAGTATGCCCCCGTTTTACATGGTTCACCTTTAGTAAATGGTTTACCTAGTTACTCATGAACGGAATGTTCTACATAAAAAATATTGGGAAAGTAGAATGTAATATTAACAATAATTTTATCCCTGTCATTTATCAGGCATTAACTTTGTCCAAGGCACTTTCCTTACATGAGTTATCTCATTTCATTCTCCTATGGAGAGGATGCTGCTTTCCTCCCGTGTTTTCTAGATGAGGAAACTGCATCACAGAAGGTTAACTAATCATTTGTAAATGATTTGAAGATAGTCTGACTCGATCTCAGCTCTTACCCACTACATGGGACCACTCTGTGGTGTCTCTTGTAGCAGTGAATCAGAACTATATGAGTTACCAACATGCCAAAGTTTCAGGAGTTACTGCACATAGCTACCCTTATGCAACATCTCAGAGACAAAGAAGTGGGCTCTCTTATCTTTTTCAGCATTTTGCTTTAGATTTGGTTTAGTTTTAGAGTACTTATTACCAAATAGTCCCTAGATACTCAAAATTAGTTCATCCTATCATACACATCAGTAACATTTAATATGGAAATGCCTAGGCATCAAAGTGTTTTTCCTAGTCTATAAGATTTATCTCCTACTTAAAGAACATAATTAAACTCATACATTTCTCAGAATTAACTTTATTGACAGAGACTGATGATCCTCCATCATTAATCTTGATGAATATTAGCCTTTTTAAGGGATATAATGTGGGGTAAACGAGAAGAATTATATAAGGCTCTTCAATCCCTATGGTTCTATTATACCGTAAGTTACTACCAAATTATCCCCTTTGTAAAATGCTGGTCAGGGCCTTGGCATTTTCTGTCAGCCAAAAATAAAAAATGAAGTCTAGAAAACGAAATCTTAAGAGGTTCCTTGAGTCCTTTTGGATGATTTCTCAGCCATCATCAGTTGAAAATTCAGTGCAAGTGACAACTCTGAATGTGAGTTAATGTGAGATGAAGTTCTATGTCTATGCTTGAAATATTTTCATCATCATATTTAAAATGCCAAAAGGAGGAAATTTACATAGCAGCAAAATTGTGTATTCATATGAATATTTAACAGTATTTGTTTTTTTAATTGAATGCTGATTGTGAGCCTTTTTCTAACTAGTGTGAGATATACCCTAATTGACCGCTAAATACAGCTTAGTGAAATTCTTTAGAATATTGGAAGTATATGTGCCCCCTCCTTGCGTCAATGAATAAAACCTACCATATTTCCTTAACACAAAGCTTCATGCTAGAAAATTTTTGATTCTTTAGTGGATGAAAGCAGAGGACTCTTCTAAAGTGAGCAGTGGAACACCTATCAAAATTGAAGATCCAAATCAGTTTGTTCCTTTAAACACAAACCCAAATGAGGTGCTAGAAAAGAGAAATAAGGTAAGACATGGTCTTCTGTGCCCAGGGGGTAACATTTTTATGCTGTTTTATGGTTAAATTGTCAATGATTGGATCTGATTAATACTAAGCTCAGGGGTTGGAATCCAGAAGAATTTGAAATGTCATTCAGTATAATTTTGGCTTGTATTGAATCCTTCAGCTCTGTGTTAGTCACTGGTGAGTGGGCCACGTGGGAAAGACGTATTAAATCTATTTCTGTTGCTAAGAGCCATGGTCTCAGTGAAAAGTATATTTCTCTAACAACAGAAGACAGCAGGGAATCATGTCAGGAAGGGTGGAGGAGTAATGTGCCTTGTTAGGGTGGTAAGGAGGGCTTTATGGAGGTGGGAGCAAAGAGGCCCTTTCTTTGTGTGGTCAGGTAGTAAAGATCATCTGCATAGTTGCCCCCAAGAACTTGTTGCTGTTTTTTTTCAATTCAGATTCGAGAACAAAACCGGTATGACCTGAAAACAGCAGGACCACAATCTCAGTTGCTTGCTGGAATTGTTATAGATAAGCCTCCTTCTGTAAGTCCACAAAGCAGTATGAACTTTGTTTTTCTTCTACCACATTAATGTCTTTGCGTTTTAAATGTGAATATTTATTTTCACTAAAGTTAATATAAGCACAAGTTAAAAAGTCAAGTAACCCATAAGACTTAAATGACACCTTCGATTTCCAATTTCTAGGGGGCAAGGACTTTCTTCTAGGATTTACTACTTTCATGTTTCTAAAGAGCAACTGTATTCTGCTTTTTCTTAATTTGTCAATTTTAGACATCACCTGTATTTCATCAAATATATGTCATTGACTATAAGAAGTACCATTATTTTATGCATCACTAAAAAAGAAACAGTCATCACAATTATAACATTAGGAAACCATCAATTATAAGATGAATCCCATTGTTAGAGTTGGGGAAATGTGCATCTTAGAATCAGTGAAAGATGGTAGTGACTTCTTTTATGGAAGATGAGGATTTTAACTATACAATGCTTTCCTTTTTCATTCTCCCAGTGAGGTTATATCATAGTTTTTTTGTTAAATCAGCTTTTGTTGTTTATATTATTAATGTTTACTGCTGATTCAGACAGTATCCTGTGAACACATTTCCTTTCTTATACAACTTTCCTCCCCCTGGAGTTAATCATTACCTTCTTTACTCATTGGCTTAGTATTTCGAGTACAGTGGCTTAGTTCTTCCCAAACTTTTCAACAGAATTATAGAGTTCCTCTTTATATTACTTTCCATGGGTTCAGAGGTAGCAGGTAACCTCTCAGCTCCAGCCTCTGTCATTCTGGTCCGGATCTGGACGGGTGGCTCTTCGGGCCAGCGGCACAGGCTCATGGGGAGGGTTCCCGTGCTGCTCGCCTGCATAGTGTCCCGTTTCCTGCTTCTGCTTTCTTGCTCCTTTATCACCGCACACATCACGTCATAGCTTTCTCAAAAAGGACACATAAACGGCAACCATCTGAAATCCTGTGTTCTGCCTTCAAATGTGCATGTCATGGATATAGAGTTTTAGTTTAGAAATAATTTCCCCTCCAAATATGAGAAGTACCACCCTCTTGTCCCCTCACGCCATGTTATGGAGAAGTGGGGGAGTGTTATGACCCATTTTTGAATCTTTTTTACATCACTGCTTTTCTGAAGTTTTATGCTGGTATGCTTTGTAGTAGATTTCAGTTTAGTCTTTTAGTAACCTTTTCAATCTGCAGAGTCATACCCTTCAGTTCTGGGACTTTTTTTTTTTTAAGTATTTCTTCAATAGTTTTTCCTTCCTGTTTCTTTACTCTTCTTTGACTGAGCCTCTGGTTTTTCTACTTGCTGTCTCTCTATCTTTTTATCCTACTCCCTAGGAGAATGTTTTGGACTTTATTTTCTAACTCTCCTATTTAATTTTCTATTTTGGCGTGTGTTTTTTAATTTTTAAAACTTCTTATTCCCTGAATGTTTTCTTTTTTTTTTTAATAACACCCTGGTCTTTTACGGTTACATGATTTCCTCTTATTGCTCTGGGGAATCAGTTTGAAACCTTCTTCAGCTGCCTTTGTTTTCTTTGTTTCTTCTGAGTTCCCGTTTTCTTGTTTATTCTGGCCCCTCTCTCCCGTGTTGGAAGCTTTCCTCAGCTGTCTGGCGATCTGTGGTGTCTGTTTATCCGTAAGGATGACGCCCTGAGAGCCAGTCAGAACCTCTGGGCATGTGCAGGGCTTGGGGATGGGTGAGCTTCGCTGCAGGGACGTTGGGTGTGGATCAGGTGGTTTTTCTGGGGAATTCCCAGATCTTAATATCTGTCATTCTTTTATCTGGGCCCATTAGTTTATCTGGAGAATTCTCTAGTCCCCTGCCAGCCTCCCACCAGCGTTCTGGGATCCCTCGGCTGTACTTTATGTCCCCTAATCAGCTGCTCAGAAGAAGCCTCTGATCTCCTACGGAGGCAGGAGGGGGTAAATGTATGGCCGTAGGCAGCAGGAAAGGAGACCCGAGACTCTGCTCCTTATTCAGATTCTTACTTTTCCCTTCTCACTTCTCTTCACTACCACCTTCTGTGGGACCTGAGGCCTCTAGTTTCTGAGCCCTTCTACGGGCACTGAGCATGCTTCTATCTGCGTCCTTCTTTGCAGGGCTGAGGTTCCATGTCCTCAGCGCTGCTGCCCACTCTTCACCCGCCTCCTTTCCAGCTCCGGAGTGCGACAGCCTCTCTCACCCTCTGCTGTCTCCTCTCCCATTCTCTTCTCCTTAAAAGTTTATGCCATGTTTGATGGTGTTCCTTTACTATCATTTTAGTGGGGTTTTGGGAACTTTTTTTAATGCATGGTTTCTCCCTGGCCCGGGTGGCTCAGTTGGTTAAGCGTCGCCCTGTGCCCTGAAACATTGCCAGTTCGATTCCTGGTTGGGGCACATGCCCAGGTTGCGGTTCAATTCATGGTAGGGGGCATGCAAGAGGCAGCTGAACGATATTTCGGTCTCACATTGATGTTTCTCTCTCTTCCCCTCCCGTCCTCTCTCTCTAAAAATCAGTAAAAAAAATCTTTTTAAAAAAAATGCATGGGTCTAGTCTTCCAGGTAAAATCTCATTAACTCCTTTCCTAGAGCAAACACGAGTTTATTTTCATAGCACATTTAAAGACGTCCTTCGGGTACCGTTTCATTTTTCTAATACGTTTTCACAAAGGCTTTTGGAAATGTAGTTCTTTTAAAGATACTTTTCAGTTATGTTAAGCTTATTAGAACTTGGGCTTAGTTTTATATTTTTAAGAAAGAGTTATTAAAATTGACTTATGCAGGCTTATTGCAGAAACATCATTGGCAGTTTTAGCCCATTGGATCAGTAGTCTAAAAGCACTAATCTGGAGTATTTTAAACAAAGCCCTAATAGGAATATTTTAAACAAAGCATGTTGCTCTGTCATTTCTTATTGTTATAAGGTGTCACAAACATCATATAGACATTTATGTGTGTGTTTGAAGTATATATATATATATATGTATATTTACATATATATACATATACATATATGTGTATATTTACACATATATATTTACATATATATTTACATATATATATATGTAAATATACATTATAAATCAATATAAGTAAAGCTCTTGGTAACTGGTCGATACTTTTCTTTGCAAGACCATGCAATTTGAAGATGACGATCTTGCCCCACCAGCTCCTCCCAACCCCTTCAGCCATCTCACAGAAGGAGAACTTGAAGAGTATAAGAAGACAATCGAACGTAAACAGCAAGGCCTGGAAGGTGAGTTCATTTTTAGATTAAGCCTAGGATAACCACTCTGTTAACAACAGAGCACCTGAGTTGAAGGATAGAAGGCAGTCAGTGTTTTCTTGAAATGTTTCTTTCACAATCGATGGTTCTATGTCATCTCTCCTAACCCTGAGTATAGATGAAGCTGAACTTGAACAAGCTGCCACAGACCATGTATGTTAACATGTGGTGAAAACTGTTTTCCTCAGAAAGGAATCTGATTGGTAACAAAAGGTCTTCTAAAGTAATGTGAAATCCCCAGATGAGTAAAGAATTCCTAGCTAAAGTGAATGTAGATATGTTAATAGATTTAAACATTTCAGAGTTTGTGGCTTTTCAAAAACTTTCTACTTTGACATAATTATAGATTCTCAAGTATGTGGCTTTAAAGCTTTGTAAGATTTCTGTTGTTCCTGTGTGTCTCAAGGTGCCAACATTGTAATTTCAAAATCAAAATATAAAGCAAACTGCTAGAATTTTGATGTGACTTTCCTTAAGCACATGGACCCTCTAGTTTGAGTTCTCCTGACTTCAGAACCCTAAGGATTATATTTTACAATTGTTAATGAAAACACCCAGCTAGAATATGAGGTCCTGTTTTCTCAAGAATAAGAGATTTTTGCCTGGTTGGGCGTTGCTCAGCAGTTGAGCATCTACCTAGGATCCAGGAGATCGCAGTTCGATTCCCAGTCGGTGCAGGCTCGATCCCCAGTTGGGGGCTTGCAGGAGGCAGCCGATCAATGACTCTTTCATCATTGATGTTTCTCTCTGTCCCTCTCCCTCTCCCTTCCTCTGTCTGAAATCAATAAAGTTCTATATTTTTTAAAAAGAATAAGAGATTCTTTAAAGCAGGGGCTCTCAGTCTTGGGTCTTTGTATAAACTTCAGATAGTCCATGAGCCATCTTAAAAATATATGCTTAATTGTGTCTGATATTTGGGAAGGGGTTCAAGGTTGGGGGACAAGAAGTTTGTGATCCCCAAAGAGAGTATGAGCCTCTGCTTTAGAGCATCCACAACATACAGTTAAAATTTTTACCCAATGCAATTCTTTAACCAGTAGTTGAACAATTTTTGTCCGTGTTAGGTATCAAGTAGGAAGAACTAATGACACTTGGATCGTCCAGGGAACAGTTTTCATCATCATGTTAGTGTCTTTGTCAAAAGAGAGTCATTCTGACTCATTAATGTAATTATCCTACATGCTCTAAGTGGTACTGTTGCATTTGCTTATTCTAACATAAGGATGGGGACTTTCTCTGTTTCTGTATTTTGTAAAATGTCCCTCTTTAATCTCTTATTTTTTGAAAGCCTAAAGATGCCAGGTAACAAATATTATACTCTAGAACCATCACTTTTTACATACAACTTTATAGTTTCTTCCACATTCATTATGACCTTCTGCGTTAGCTCACTAACATCCTCTGACAGGAATCACTAATTGGATATTGTTCAAAAGTTCAGAGAAGCATTGTGCCTCATCAATGTAGCATCATTGGTGAGGCCTCATAATTCTTTCCTCTGGCTGCTCAATATATTTTAGTTTTCTAACACTCTAGGAAAAGCTAAATGAGTACATATTATCTGCCTGGGCTGCCAGTAGCCATGCTTCCTTAGTAAGCATGTATATTTCTGTTCGCAGCCAGAAGTTCTAACACATTAACTTCCCCATAATGCACAAGTTATTGAGATGCGGGGTGACCGTAGCATGCGCAGCTCATTGCTGAAGGGTTCCTCATCTCTGTATGCAGGCATTTGACGTGTGCACTAACCTCCTAAAATCTTATGCTGCTTTGTTTTGCATGGCTTTTAACTAAACTCTTATCCAACAGATGCTGAGCAGGAGTTACTCTCAGATGACGCTTCATCTGTTTCACAAATTCAGTCTCAAACTCAGTCACCGCAAAATATCCCTGAGAAATTAGAAGGTATTCAATGTAATTTCCCAAAGTATTCACTGAGTTAATCTAAAGAGTTTGTTCCTCTGTCATTTGTGTTTCTGTAAGGAAATCAAACACCTGAGTGCAGTAAGTTTGCCGTGGATTTTACTTAAAGCTCCCAATTATTTTATATTTTTATTTTGTTCAGCATTTATATTGACTTATATTAATCTGGATTTTGGTAACTCATAGTTCTTAAGAATTTGTGAAATTAAAATTGGTTTGTCATATGTCTTTGAATCAGAAGCATGAAATCTTTTCAATTTTGATTCCCAAATGACCCCAAAATTAAAGAAATATATATGTTGTCTTCTTCATTTATATTGACTTGATGTACAGTGAAACTGTCAAGTCATCAAACTGTACTTACCCAGCCTTCATTTTTTTGGTCTAACAACTTTCCCCTTTATCCTATTTAAGAAAAATTGCCTTATGCTAATAGATCTATAGTCCATTAAAACAATGACCTATCTTTATTGGAATTAAATAATGCCTTAGTATTTTGCCAAAACATTTCAGTTTTGTAAAATGAAACATAGATATTAACTATATAAAATAACCCCAAACCCTCCCCTTTTGTAGAAAACCATGAGCTATTTTCCAAGAGCTTCACCTCCATGGAAGTGCCCGTCATGGTCGTGAACGGCCAGGGTGACATGCACGATGTAGAAGGCGAGCTGGCCAAGCGAGTGAGTCGGTTAACTACGAGCACGACCGTAGAAAACATCGAGATCACCATTAAGTCTCCAGAGAAAACTGAAGAAGTCCTGTCCCCTGAAGGCTCACCTTCAAAATCACCATCCAAGAAAAAGAAGAAGTTCCGCACTCCTTCTTTTCTGAAAAAGAACAAAAAAAAGGAGAGAGTCGAAGCCTGAGGCCTTTTCATGTTGCTATTACAATGTGACGTTGCACATTTAAGTACCACGTTGAAGGTGATTGTTAGTACACGGTGGTAGGACAGATGGGGGCATGTGGCAAACTGGACTCTGAGAACTGGAAATGGGTTTTACTGAAGAAAAACATTATGGAGAAAAGCTTTCAAATTCATCTCTCATTTTATATGTCAAAAAAAGGCTTTGAAGTTTTAAACAATTGCAAGTTTTGATTAGCTTTACCCTCACGAAGTGTTAGAATTCACCACAAACAGATATCTGTCTGAATTACTTCAGGCCTTCTCTGTAGTATCTGTTGGAAAGAAATTACCAGTGAACGAGGGAGAGAATTTTTATTTCTCTACACCTGCTTTACTTGGTAATCAGATTTTAATTTTTTATCCTTGATTATTGACTGTACCTTTTTGGTTCCCATTGTTTCAATGGGCATTAACAGAATGCTTTAAAAAGCTTCTAAGATAAGAATCTATAGCATTAGTATACACTGGCACATAATTTTTTTAAAAAAAAATAAGAAAGGATTCATTTGGAATTTTATTCATAGTATAAAATTTCCTCACCTGAAGTAACTTTGTTTGCCAAAAAAAGGTCATTTTAGTAAAATATAATTTTTGAAAACTTCCTTTTTTATTCGTTTAGAAAGCCCCTTATTTTTCAACAAAGGGGATTTTGTACATGTAACATGAGTTATTTAGTTTAACTCTGGCAAAAAACAATTTTTGTATGTTGAGATGTTTGTATACCATTCAGTATAAAATGTCATAAGCATATTAGCCAATCATTTAACAACAGAGCAGATTTGAGGCTGCTTGGTACTAAGTATACTCAAATATAATTCAAGAATCCAGGGACTTGGTATCACACGGGGTTAGAGGGTTTAAAGGTATAACTAGGTTCATACTTGAACCTTACAGCGTATTTCTCAGTATCGCGGGTGAATGAAGCAGCTCGCATCTGGTGACCAAATGAAAGGACAGAGGAAAGAGTGAGCAGTGATTCCCTACTGGAATCAGAGGGGTCGTGAAGAGAGTTCTGGTTTGACACTGACTCAGTCACGATAGGATTTGAAGTGTAATTTATTCAAAACAAGTTCCAAATTTCTAAAATTCTGCTTCTCTACCAAAACCATTGTATTTCTTGGTTGATAGTTCAGTTGTAAAGGGTCAGATCCTTTTAACTGACGTATCTTTAGAAGGCAGCACTAGAAGAAATTGGTAGGTCTAACCTCCCTCCCCCAGTGAGAAAACTACCACCTCTTGATTTTTACAAAAATTTTTAATCTTTTCAGTTAACTTTCTAATGTAAATACAGATTTAAACCTAGGCTTAATATAGTTTTTCCCCCTTCACCCAAGTGATGTCACAAATCAATGTAAAATCAATGATCCAAAGTGGTCAGTGGGTAAAAAAAAATCCAAAGTGTTTCTGGAGGGTGAGCTGGCATGTAAAACGTTACATTGATCACAGTGTGTTCTGGGCGGGTTCTGTTTGTACGTGTATGGTGATGCAAAGTTGAAACAGAGCCGAAAATTTCATTCTAGATCTCACCAACTACTGGAATCAGTGTTTTAATCTCTTAGTGGATACTTTCAACTTAATTCTGTATTTGAGGGTTTTGTTTTTTTATGTTCTACATCATTTATGTTGTATTACAATGTATGTAGAAACAGTAACCTGTGAACTATGCTTTTCCATAACTTTTTAAAAATATATATATCTTAAATGAATGCAGTGTGCATTAATATTTTTTAAACTACAACAGTGAACTATTTGCACCTTTTGCTAATGCCTCTATTTACTTGCTTTGGCATAAAGAATGAGCCAATGAACTTCTGTGTCCTGTGGAAAATGTATAAATGATATCTGATATTGCTCTTAGATGTAATGCTAATTAATGTGAAATCACAAATAAACAGTATTTTAAATAGATGGACTTGGTGTCATGAGCTTTCAACTCACGGTGGTTACTTAGCCTGAGTTACTCTGTGGGCTGCGTTTTATACTACAGCGAGATTTTGCGTAAGATTGGTGCTTCTGAATAAGCAATGTTCTGGTAAATTTATTTTCAAATCAGTTTAAAGTTAACTATATAAAACCCTGGTTTCAGCTTATATGGAAAGAAATATACTCCAAGTGACCTGTTTTTTGTCTTGATAGAGTATGGTGACCTCCACTGTACCTCGGAGATCTAGGATCTTTGACGGATTTAGGAAGCTCAGTCTGAATTCTGCTCTTCAGATCTATGGATGTAGAATAGAAACTGTTACAGAATATGTTCCCAGTTTCTATATATTACCCTTCTCTTTGATTTTTATGTAACAATATAACAATAAAGAAAAAAGCAGAAGGAATAGAAAAAGGTTACAATTCCACCACAGTAAAAAAAAATTGTCGAAAAAGTTTTTATTCCTTTCCAGCTCCTGTTCGGTGTGTCCCCCGTCCCGTCCGCCCCCCCCTTTGTATTAAAAATGGAGCGAAAGAGGGGAAATCATGCTAATTAAGGGTTCTGGTTAATTGAAGTTTTTACTATCATTACCCATTATAAAAATGAAGGGTTTGGGCAGAGAAGAATAGATTCATAGTCTTGGGCATATTTAATTATTACCTTGGCTTGTAAATAACCCTGTGGCGAAAAATTGCTGTTTAGAGAGATGCTCAAAGGTCCCTTCCACACAGCAGCAAAGGCCGTTGTCTTGAGCGCTCGCGAGCCAGTGGCAGGGAGGTGACGCCGCCTGTCCCTTGTCCTCTGCGGGCTTTATCTTCACTCGGCCGGGAATAGAACCGACTGCGTCCAACTCGCGCTGGTCTCTCAACACCGACTGTTCCTGACGCAGAAAACAGAAAACACGTCGAGCTGCCGCGTTGGCTAAAGCGGGTTTTTAAAAAGTCTTGTTCGCGGCCACTAGGGGGCGCAAGAGCCCCAACAATCCGGAGGGTCCGCAGTCTCGGCACCGCCCGTCCAGTCACAGACGCGTTCATCCTGGGAGACCCCGGACGGGAACTGGCGCCCCTTTGTTGCTTCTCACAGTCCTCGCGGACAGCTTCCAACGTCTTGTCCCCAGCCGCCAACACCAGCCCCGCCAGCGGGGCTCCGGTGTCTGTGGAGCGCAAACACGGAAGAATGTGGAGGGTGGCCTCAGAAAGGGGCCACGGGGGAAAGTGACCCTCTGGGGAGCCTGGCGCCCCCGAGGGGCAGCGCAAAGCCTCTTCTAAGATACTCGCCTGTTGGAGCGAGGGGGTGCTGAGAACAGCTGCCCCTCGAGGCTCCGTGCTTCTCAGGCTCCACCCCGTTAGCCTCCCCAGGTCCCAGCCAAGTGGGAGACACCCCAGCGTTGCAGATAACGAGACCAGGGCCTTGCCGAAAATAAAAAGGAGGTGCGGGTATCCCGCCCGCAGGATGCGGGTTTCTAAATGCCGGGTGCCCTTGGGGGCCGCCCTGCGGGGCTCCAGGGTGCGCTCCTGTGGAGTTTCTAGGAAGAGCCCGGCTCCGTAGTTTGGGCTGCAAGTCCAGCCGTGGTGGCGTCGGGTTTTGATACAAGATACGGGGACAGGCTGGGCACAGGACATGAACTTTCGATTTGGGAGACTAACCCCCCCTCCCCCAACAAATGACCCCAAGGAGGAAGAAATGGGTGGGTGCCTGGGCGCGGGGGTGACCGTGGCGGCGAGAACCAGCCCCGAACCTTCCGCACGGCCCAGGCGCCAAGAGACTCCGGCAGAAGCCCTTTATTTTTCCCCAACGCTGGGGCCAGGGAGAGACGTTCTAGGGCAAGTGTTACTTTAAAAACCTGAAAGACTGTTCAGTGTAAAGAAGCCGTTTTAAAGATGAGAAATACACTGTATCTACTTACAGCGTTATTTACATGAATATACTTGGAGATCGTCTCTCGGAGAAAAACCTCGCGTGCGTGCCGGCGCTGAGAACAGAGATCAGCCTCTGGGAACTTTCGGTAGAGAAAATAATCGGTGAATTCAGTGGTTTCAGATCGAGCTCGTTTCCGAGGTGACCATTAGGGGGCGATCCGGGGCCTGTCTAGTTTTAGTGAATTGAGGGCGCTTCCTTCAGAGTGGCTCTGAGCCTGGCCTTCCCTCTGGTTACGCTCTCAGCCCAGGCGCAGCCGAGGCTGGGGCGTCGCGGGGACCGCGTTTCTCCTTCGTTCCCCGCAGCCCCGTTTTCTTGCTCTGACTTAGGGAGACGCTGCGGTCCTGCCAAGTGCGTGCCTCGCCGCACAGCTCGGGCGGCTGAGCCACGACGCGCCCCGCACCCCGGCTTTTCCGCTCTAGCAGGGTCCCCCTTGGAAGCCCGTCGGGTGGTGACCTGGTCAACACAGTGGATAAACAGATAGATCAATACACTTTTCTAAAGTTCTCTGCAAGCTAATGCTTAGAACTTTATTGTGGGAGTAATGCAGAGGGACGTGTTGCAGGACCAAGCCTGGTTCTCATTTAGCAAGAACTGTTCTTCCTAACATTTCAAGCCGCCTCAATGTTCTGTGAAAGTCTCTGCACTTTCTCAAGTTAACCGTGGCCCCGAGTTCTTTACTGCTGCAGCCTGTATTTTAAATGCTGTTGTTATACCTTAGGTGACATACTGGTTCCTTAGGGTGTTCCGTCCATAGCAAAAAAGAAAAAAAAAAATGTTTTATTTAACAGAAAAGTAGAGGATATATATCCAGTCCACAATTATTTTTAAGGCCTATGTAATTTCTTGACCAAAGCAGTGGTCAAGGTTGTTACGCTAGCTTCTGTTTTCCCACATAAACTACTTTAGGTTTTGTCTTTCCCCAGGGCCAGCCTTGACCTACCTTATAATGTGTTGTGTGTGTGTGTTTTTAAATCCCATGTTTTCAGTCCGGGTAGCTCTTGTCTCTAGACAAAATAATAGTTCCTTGCTAAACTCCATACCTTATCATCAGTAGTATTGATTTTATTAATCTAATTTGGATTTGCACAGAAGAATATTAAATTTCTAAGAAATTCTAAAAATTTTAAATGTGCTTTTGAAATGACAAATAAGAACAAATATGTAGTACAGAATCTTGTCAAGATTTTTCATCATTGTTTGTCTACTTATATCAGGCTCCCCCCTCCCCCCCCCCC